AAAAAAAGATTGTCTATTGTAAGAAGTCTATATTAGATAGAAAATTGTTGAACACGATAATTGCCCCGATCGACGACATAGAGATTACCATGAAGATCAAAGGATAAAGCCATGGGACCGTTGAATTGATTTGTTTTTACTCCTGCACCATTTCCACCTACAATGACAGTGCCTTGTGCCGCTCCTTGGGGCCAACTTATCACTCGATTATTCCATGAGTCTGCTACACAGAGAGTACCCCAAGCATTAACAAACACTCCATTAGGAAACGACAATTGTGTCTGACTACTTCCTTGACCTTGATATCCAGCGACAACAATTCCTTCGGTTGCACCTTTATCCCATTTCATCACACGATCATTACTCCTATCAGACACGTAGAGAGTCTGTTGTTTATCGACAAAGATGTAAGTTGGACCATTAAATTGATTGAGACCACTACCTATACCATTGCCACCAGCCACGACAATTCCATTCCAGTCACCTTTTTCATATCGTCTTACTTCATCTTTTTCGTAGTCAGAAATGTAAAGATATCTCTGATCATCCATGGCCAATCCCCAACATTTAACATCGTGGACGAGAACTTCACCATGAGCTGTGCCACTACGACGAGACCATCGTACCACTCGTCGATTCTCTCGATCACAAATGATGAGACTATCTGTCTCTTTATCGATTAACACATCGGTTGGCTCATTCAATTGATTCAATCGATCTCCTTTCCCATGGCCACCAGCTACCACTTGTCCATTTGTATCACCTGCCCTCCATTGAACGATACGATGGTTATACGTATCAGCAATGACTAATGTTTGATCATCATCAACAAAGAGACCATGAGGACCCCAAAGTTGATTGGTGGCACTACCATATCCATGACCTCCAGCAACAGTCACTCCATTCCGTGCCCATCGGGCATTGGCTGGAAGATTGGGAATCACTACAATAAACGAGGAAAAGAAAATGAATTATCATCGTCGTTGTCAATAAATAAGGCATTCTTCTTCATTGAAAGAAACTTGATAAAACTGTTGAAAATGTTCTTCCCTAACATACTCTAAACAAAAACAAACTTCTTCCGTTCAGATCTAAATTGGGAAACCTTTTTCTAGTTTCTTATGTCAGAAGAAGAACTTCGTAAAGATTCTTATGAGAACTTGTATTTACTAGGACTTATCAAAGATCTTGCTAAGATCTTTGAGATTCTCAAAAAGAGAACTGCCAGGAAGAAGCATTTCTGAAATATAGAGAAGGGTAACGCCAATCCAATGCAAGATCTCGATACGAAAACATAAGGATTTGAAGATTTTATTTATAATTTATACGATTAACTGCAGACAAGGTTTCAAGTGATACAATAAAGAACTGTGTCGGATGACGAAACTGAGAAAATGCTGCGAAGATTCTATCTGAATGTTGGTCCTAGGAGTGTAGAATGCATGTTACACAATGCTTTTGGAAGTGATTCGGAGAACGTATTGATCACATGTTTTTCTAATTTTGCAATATAAATGACATTTTTTTTACCAGGCTTTTGATAAATTATAGAAAACTCCTCGTAAGGAAGTTCCTGAGAGGGATCTAGCAAGATCATATCCACGTTACATGAGTGCAAAACTGAGAAAACGTGAAAAGATTCCACACAGATCTTTGGAAAAGAAGGCTTTCTACTAAGGATGAAGAATACCTTGAAGTTTTTGAGAGTGCAATAAGAAGATTAATACAAAAGTTAGTATTCTTGAAACTGTTGAGAAGTCTAATACTAATAGTATGTTAGCTATCAACTGGTAAGCATAGAAACTTGAGAATTTTATTCATTGTTTACAATGCAGAATCTTATCGATGATTATCAGAAAGAGCACTAGCGAAGGTAAATGCTTAAAGGGTTTGCGTTAAAACCATTCAATAATTTACACTGTCAGGGTCGTAAAAAATGGAAAAATATCGAGAAGAATTTATCCGGACCTTATAAGGAGTATCTCAAGTATAAAAATTTTGATTGCTTGAAAAACATATGCTCAATGAATGCACATTTACCACAGGATGTCGTAAATATGTTCATAGAATATAAAGGTATGGCTCTGTTAAGTTTTTGGAAACTTATGTTAAGCTGTTTGAAAGACGGCCGTGATACGAACTTTTGTAAGATAATAAGAAAGCTTGTATGCATACGAAATCGAGGAAATTTGACAGGACTTCATGAGGAATCTTTGAAATCCGACGCGTTCTACTAATGGGATACTGGCAAGACTATTGCTAATCTTATCCGAGATCTCTATAGAAAAATATAGGGATCTGTCAGTCGTGATGAGACAGTCAGAAAGTTCTCTTAGAGCTTATGAATCTTATGGACCCCTTCAGAAACCTTTTCAGAAAACTATTTGAAGTTCATAAACACCGCTTAATAATCCCTTTTTAATGTTTTCTGAGCCTTTCATAAATGGTAGAAAAAGGTTTTTTATTGGTTGCACTCCTTGTGTCTCTAGAATGACTTATCCGTTCAAATTGAAACATTCGGTTTATTCCTAACTCAGATGAATCTATCTACTATAAGAATATCAATACAATCGGTGAGATCAATTGAACAAGATTCTACTAGAAGTAGTTGTGACGTACATGCCATATCTCATAGAGAATTCACCGATAGCAACCTTTCAGCTTTTTGCAGTGTTAGTAGCTGAAGAGCATTGAGGATATTGCAAAGTTACAGATACCGAATTCTAAATTAAAAAACCTCTCAACAAGTTTTGCAGGATCGTTTCAGAAACTCTATTTTCTGAGTTTGCCATAATATGAAAACTTTTTTTTTAGAATGAAAGAACTCATGGAAGCCAGACAGGTTAAGGAAGTAATAGAAATTCAAAGAACTTAAGAGCCGATGGGCGAGAACAAGTATATAGGTGGAAGAGTAACAGTGATGTTCAGGAGAATTTCATTAATCATCATTTGGATATCGTCGAACTCTTTTAAAAAGAAAGATTTCGAGGAGTTCGACATGATAGAATTATTAGATTTGAAATGATCTGCAACGATCTCTTTTCGCAAAACTCAAGCCTAAGCCGGCTAGATTTTGACGAAAAACTTCATTTTCTATGGTAGTTCAATATCGAATCCATAGTTTGAATCAAATCACTTAAGGATATAAAAATGGTCCAATTCTATTGAATACTATTTTATTGATGAAAATAATTTGTATTAATTAAATCATTTTATACAATTACCTACTAATTTATTTCTTTATCATATATACACTAATCAGTATTTCGACATTTCATTTTTTGATTATTCTATACGTATTGTGTCATGCAAAATGTTATTTCATTGAGAAAATATATAAATAACTTACCTGACGTATCTGTATTTGATGATTTTAAAGCTAGTTGCGTTTTATTCATAGCTGACGCTAATGATTGATCATGATTGTCATCAAGTTCAACTAAATGTACAAGAAGTGACCCATTCGGTTGCTTTAAAACATCGCTCTCCACGCGAAATTGTGAACCCATTCGTAAAATAATTTCATCTTCATTTTTGAACTCTGTATAACCAGAAATCTTTTTTCCTTTAATAGCTTCAATTAAAAAAAGAGTTGCATTTTTACGGTTGCCAATGAAATTTCCAATAATTTTGACTGATGAAGAACATGAATTAATACTCCACCATGTCAAAATTTGGTTTTTGGTGAAGTGCTTGCTAATATCAAGAGGTACACCTCTCCATACTACTTCTTTAACAGTAGGTAACTTATCCAATGCTGTATCAAATAATTTTAAGTATGGAAACCATATTTTTAGTGCTTGTCGATTTTCGGATCGTAATGCTTTATTCAATATACGATACAAATTGGTATCACCCCATTCCATTGAATATATATAAACTGCAGCTGATTGATCATGTGTTAGTCCATGTTCTGACGGAAAATGACAATGTCGTTTAGCTGTGTTTATTAAACGAGGCAATTCATCAATTTGAGATTCGATAGGCTTTAGTGCTTTTTCAAGTGGAACTAGCTTTTCAGCATGATAACCATAAACACGTGGAAGTTCCTTAAATGAAACCTCGATATCACCGAAACGATTCATCAAGTGCGATTTTTATTTATTGTCGAACGTTGATGAAAGTGCGATTGGGACGAATTCGAAGTAATTGATTAAAATACGTTTGACTTGTTTTTCTATAGAACATTATTTAGAAAAATTTCCTATTAGTACTTTTTCTTTCTATATAATAATAATAATAAAACTTCCACTCCTTCCGACTTACACAGATTCAGTTAAGGATTACGCTTCTTGACACTACGCGGATCAATGCCAGTCATTGAAAGCATATTTTCTCTTCCACTTAAGAATCATTCTGGGCTCCTGAAGTTTTTGACCGTCATTCGGAGATATTGGTTGGTAGTCTGAAGCTTTTTTTTACTTTTCCTGTCAACGGTTTCTCTGACATCGAAAATCATTCCCTGTCTCCCAGAGATGTAAGTCACTATTATGAAATTTTGCTCAAGCACGTAACACATTGATCAATTTCCTGGAATATATGTACTGTTTCTAAAACATTTCTATGTGCTAAGACAGATTTTGTATTCACTTATTGAAATTCTGCGAATGTTGGAGGTTTTGTTACTACATACACAAACTATGGGCTTTTGAACCTTGTTATTCTTCCTTCCAGGACTTCTTCTGTGATCCTAAATGACTTCACTCACGCATTCATCTTTCCTCCAAATGTTACTGTTGTCTCCAAAATGAAGCCCTTGATAGTCTGAAGGTCACTAGAACTACCTCAAGATATTGATAGGTTCTCCGGAGTTCATTTACTTTAGTAACACGTTTCTCTATTGCTGAAAAATTTTAAATGTTAAGGAAATCCTCTGATGGCTAGCTTAAAAATTTTCGTTCGGCCTCTCACATATTGTCGGATGTTTTACCTTTTCAAAATATCTTGACAGATGCATTTTTGGTTGGAAAATAATTTCCGTCATCTTCGTAGATGAATAGGTAAAGAAAAACTTTCGAGTCTTCTGCATTATGTGCGATCCAAAAGCGTTCGCGATCGACGAAACACATCGTTTTTTTTTCGAAGTGACTTTTCGTCACGAGCACATTTTGGTGGACCACATGGGGCGAGTGTGGGTGTGAATGTAGATATGAGTGTCTGTACCCACACCTTTCAACACCACTCTGACAAATTGGTGGAGGAGTCGAAACATTGCACACAAACTTCGAGTCGCAACCATATAGTCCAAAGTTTTTCGATCTGAGTCTCGCTCATAATCATTCGAAAAGGAATTACTTCGTCAACAGTTTGATGAGTCGCTCTGCGGTTCAAAGTGACTGGCTCTTGATGTTTCGCACTACTGTTACTAGTAAAGGCTGACCCTCTAACTCTCTCAAATCAGTGAGAGAATCGAAGTTGTCTGTCCTCATTATTACGAATTTTCCTATGCTTGAAAAATTTTCGTCTTTATTATCATGTATCGATCTCTGGCGCATGAGTTGTGACCTTCATCTGTACAGATTGGTTTGCTATCAGAAGCTTGTCCACTGTTACTGTTACTTACACTCAAAGTTTATTATTGCCTTCGTGTCCTTTTTTATGCATAGCATCATTAAATTCGCAGTTACCTTATACAGATTTTCGTTTCTCATTTCTTTGATAACTAAAATTGCTGAATTGAATAGAGAGAAAAAAAAGTGACAGGCAAATTGTGTAATACAAACAAGATTATAGAATTGAGATGAATCAAAAGATCAAAATAGATATGAAATAGCTGCGAAGAAATGAATAGACGCTATCGGCATAAAATGAATCATGGATGTCATTGTTATATCTATTTCAATCGTTTCTACTACTCGCAGTGTCTGCATTTCGAACTTTTCTAATAATTTACTCACTATGGTCAAGTAATTGAAGCTGAAATGTTCTGAGGTAAGCCAATAAAATGTTGTGATTGATAGACTTTTTTGCACTCTGCACCGTAGTCTTGTTTTTTTTCGAATGAGTCGTATCTTACTTTACACAGCGTGTTAAACCTTTATATCATGTTGCTGTTTGTGTTTGCCTCCTTTTTGCATTTTTTTAAAACTCTTATCAAATAAGCACTTCATGAGAAGGACTGCAAATAGTAGTAATAAAACATTCACTACAAGAAAAGACGATAAGCGACGACAAAAAACGCAATAAAACTCATACTTGTTTGATGACTCCATTTCATCTGGACTATACAGATTGATATTTGTTTCTGTATGATTTGAAATGGTTAGGGCCGTTCAAAACTAGACAATGACTAGCAAGGTGATATTTCAGCGTATATCTATTCGATGATTCGATTACTGATAGTTAACAAAGCATGACTGTTCTAAAAATGGTCTTAATTCATCCATTTCATGTATAATTTTTGCTGATTTCAGTACTGATCTTTATACTGATTTAACTGTTTTATTTGAATCAATTATATTTACATCGATGTTATCTTCTTTCGTTCTTCCGTACGATACATATTCTAACTCAATTCGGCCATCAGTTTTTTAATATTTCAATTATTATTTAGTTTAGCTTTCGCTTGATTAATACTTTGTTCCAAAGTCAAAATGCGTGAATGCTTAGGCGGTAATGATTTTAAGTAGACCTCACGAGCTTTGGAAAAGAATTCTACACCTTTTCTATAGTCTCCACTGTTATGATAAGTTGAACCCATGCTTTCATACGTAATTCCAAAATTGTAATGATGTTGTGGAAGATACTGAAGATCGACTTTAAGTGCTTTTTCGTAGTGTTCAAGAGCTAAGTTGAAATTACTTTTTTCATAGTAAATATGAGCCATCGTACGATAAACATCCGATAGTTCGGGATTATTTAAAGGTAGAAGAATGTTAAGTGCCTTTTGTTCATATGACAGAGCTGAGTTAAGGTCTTTTTTGAAGAAGTACACTTCCCCGATTTTCGCATATGTTGTTGCAATGTTCTCTTGGTTATCACTTTTAGTCAATAGGTCAAGTTCTTTTTGAAAATTTTCTAAGGCTTCATCATAATCTTTGAGTGCTATTTCAATAGCACCGAGTCCTCGATAACATTGTCCTTTGTCGAAGTCATCAGTTGTTGAGTCCAATAATAACTGTTGAAAATAATTCCTTCCTTTTTCGTATTCTCCTTCATTATATAGCAACCAACCGAGTGATGCGACTCCTCCTTCTACTTCTTCTTTCATTCGTTTCATTAGGTCTTTCAGTTCATATTCGTCTTCACTACAGAGAGAAAGAGTACCAATCCAAGTTTGTTCACTTTCATTATATTCTACTTGTGTTATTTTGAAGATAGAACCTAACATGATTAATACTTCTTCTTCATCAGGAAAATACGACAGATTTTTTATGTTGACATATGGTTTCGTGTTAGTCACACGCATATCAATATTAAACTGGAACATTATATGTGTTGTATCAACTGAAGGAACTGCATTTGCCTGAGCAAAGAACAGGCCAATCTCTCGATCGACACTCGTGCTTAGAAAACTTTGCATCGATATGTACTGTCCAACATTTTCACAAATGTAACGTAATTCGTCCTTAGATATTGTTTGACCACGATATAATCTCAGAATAGGATCGTCGTCGCTGCTATGTGAATCTAAAAATCTTTCATGCTCACATATCAGCTGCCCATGTAGATCCTTGATGAAGAAACGAAGTGCCAAGAGAACTTCGTAGTCAGACTCACGAAGTGCTTTGTTGAGTGTGCTGTAGAGAAAAGTCGGACGAGAGTACCACCAAATCGCCTTTTCTGGTCGGTATTCGCTCTCGAATTCTTCAATTACTCTTTGTTCAGCTTCATTTCCTTCATATATTCGTTTGAAGTGATCGATCAAGTCCTGTTTGGCCGTTAAATTATGATTGTTCGTCATTTGGAGTAAAATATCAATCAGCAGTTGAAAATACATGAAGAGAGCGTTTTTCGAGTCTCTTTCTTCCGACGCATTTCCATCACTTTGTGTGTTATAGACGTTCATCACAACTGCATCAGAGTCGATTCGTTCACGGACTCGTTGGTCTGCTGCGACCGCTGTGATTAAATCTTTGAATCGCTCATATACTCCTTTCACCTTGAAGAATGAAAACGAAGTGTAATTAATATTTTATCAATCGAAGCAGAAAAGTCAACTTTACCTTTTCATACTCTTTTGCCCACTCTTCAGTCGCACTCTTGTCGAAACAGTAGACATAGACAGCTTTCAGTTGTAGAAAATCATTTACAACAGAAACGACAATACGTCCGAATGTGTCCGAAACTATGAGTACTACTTTGTGATTAATCAAATCAGTCAAATAATCTACACACGCGTCTAAGTCGTCAAAGACTTTGAATTGATTGATAACTTGTTTTAGTTTCTTCTGCGTTTCAACACTTTCATCATCTGAATTGACATTCCTACCGAGCCAAATCAGTGCGTAAGTTCCATAGTCGTTTTTGACATTCTGAAATCGTCGAACGGATCTGTTAGTGGTCGTTTCAGAAATGTCAAGACACTTAGCGGCCATGCTTTCATTACTTTCAAAATGCTGCGTCACTCACTTCATGAAAATGAGGCCATAAAAATTGTCTTTTTCTTTTTTTCGTTTTCACTTGTATACTGTACACCATTAAATACTGTTTGTTTTGGTGCGTAATAAGTAATTTGATTTTTTTTTCCTTCGGCTAGTAAGAAAAAACGTATTTTTATTTCTTCCTTCGTTTCTACACAGAAAGTCAACGTCAGAAAAATAAAGAATATTAACATTATTTTATGCTTTAGTAGGGTAATAAAAAAAAGGAAGCTGACTCATTAAGGAATAGAGAAAAAGTAAAGTATATACTGCACTTCATGTTGTGTTAGAGAAACTAGCCTCACGTGACGAAGTACGTAACTGGATTAGCTTATGACGACAGTAGACCAAGCTCGAATCTCACGCATTGAACATTTATTTAATTAGGTCATACTCATCACACATTCGTGGTTAAAAACAAATATTCATTACATGTTTTGTTCTTTCTTTTTTATTCAGCTATTGATTAAGTTTTCTGTATGCTCTATTGCTAATCAGTTTAT